TCATATCTGATAAAAGATACTGACATCAGGATGTGAACAGATCAATGACAAGCACCACTTGTAAAGTTGTGTTCAGCAACATCACAGTTCGGGGGACAGTCAAACATGTGCAATGCAGATTCATGTTAAACTAGTTTATAAACTAAACTATGTGATTTTGCGGTTTACCTCATTATCATCACAGTGCAGGGTAAAACGGTTGTGGCTGTGATAACATAGGTTGGTAAATCCTGTTTGGTGGTATTGTAAACCACTGTGCTGCGACTTGTGGGTGGAGCTGCTGATGATGCCACACGTGCGACCCACTGCCAGTGGACTAACAGGAAACAGCTGATAGCAGGAATGAGCAGCTAGTAGCAAGAGGGAAACGCAAACCTGACAGACACTGTAAAGATGAGCAACTGGGGAGACAAGAAATTGCACGCCCTCCTTGCTCTCGCAAAGGAAGAGACCATTAACCATCAGGTGACGGGAACAGTGAAGGACGGGCCAACTTATGAGAGAGTCACCGAAGGACTGACCAGCCGCGGCTTCCCTCGGAGTACGTTACTGTTTACATCACAGGCTGTGCTACACGTTTTGTTACTTGCTCACACCCCCCATTGCCCCGAAAAAGGCGCATTCTGTATTAACAAAAGTAGGCAGGCGGCATTTCGCTGCACTCCCCGATTTCGTTTTTATACTGCCAATGCTGAAAAAAGACTGATTGGGCTTTCCTGCAAGTTTGCACAATTCCTATTTAAAAACGGCAGTTTATTGCCTGTTAATGTTTTGATCCAGCTTATTATTAATCAAACATTTCCATCCCTAAATCTTGTAGGCAACAGCACTCACAAAAGACTAGAGTCAAAATCTATGTTTTAATAGGGCAACACACGGCCAAACAAAATGACAGATGCGTTTCGGCCTAAGCCTTCTTCATTGTAATTTATTTTTTTTTAAAAAATTTTATACACTGAAGAAGACTTAGGCCGAAACGCGTCTGTCACTGATTGGCCGTGTGTTGCCCTATTAAAACACAGATTTTGACTCTAGTCTTTTGTGAGTGCTGTTGTCTACTAGTTTCTTTGGAATCCCTCTGCAACTGCACCCATCACGATTGGAAATATTGGAGTTGTGCGTCCTCCTTCCTTCAGCATCCCTAAATCTTACAAATGGCTTTTCTGTAGTGTATAGTTATCCAGACTAACAAGGCCGCTTTCCTGGGAAACTAAGGATAACTGGTTGGAAGAGAGTGAATTAATTCAGACTGTGTAGAAGTGTCAATAAGATGATGACCATCCAGGAGAAAGTAGGATGGTTGCCTTCTCCTACGCTGTTCAACTGATGAGCTAGTGATTGCAGAAGATGGGCTGATGCAGTGACCCAGTTTTGAATCACTTCCACCCAGTGCAGTCATTCACAGGACTGTTTAACAGAACAGCAGATCACGCTTAAAGCAAAGCTGTCTTCCAGTGATGGAAACCCCTGTGGTGGGTGGATATCCATGCAAACACCTCCCCTGACTTCCCTGTGGTTCTTGCCTGAATAGCTGACTGTGAGAGGGGACTTAATGTTATGAAGCACGTCACATCAGACTAGTTTCTCTTACAGAGTTTATCTTCGCCCCAAACAGGAGTCTGAAGATCACTGGCGTCGTATGTTTTACAGATTGTAGAGCTCTCTGTGGCAAATTAGTTGTATTTGGCTTAGTAATTAAATTTAACTAGACCAGACTTGGGGTCTAACTTGTAAGTGATACATACTGGTGTCAGAGTTTTGTCTTAAGTGCTGCTGTTGAATTGTGAATGACTCCATAAGAAGGAGGTCTAACTTTAAGGATGATGGAGAACAGGATTAAAGAAAAAGAAGACATGGGTGTGTCTGAGGATGATTTTTAAGCTCCCAGCAGATGAACCGTGTTGGCACACATTAATAGCTGGCAACGACTGAGCATACATATTTAGTACTAGCAGTAAATGACACATTAAGAATTCTACAAAGTACTAATGAAATTTCCATAGCATTTGTTTGAGAAAGTTTGTTAAAAGCTGCATGCATATCAGATTTGTATTTATTTTTTATTTTTTTCCTTGAAAAGAGGTTTTAAGATGAACTTAATATGTTAATCATCCTTGTTCCACCCCGGTGTACATTCTAAGCACACAAAAACCCATTTATGTTAACACCTTCAGTGTTCTCTCACAGGCTGCTGAGCACCTTCAGTCTTTCATCGCTGATTGCGACCGCAGGACTGAGCTGGCCAAGAAGAGACTAGCCGAGACGCAGGATGAGATCAGCGCTGAAGTGGCTGCAAAGGTGAGAAACTCACTGTGGACATTGTTAGTGAGATTATCATCAGGTTTTTATGAAGGCTGTGCTCTTCCAGGGTATAATTAATCTCTTGGGAAAATTCACATCCACACCATCTGGTTATCATGAATCTGTACAATCTGTACAAAGTGACATTTTTTACAGTTTAGAGCTTATTATTCGTCTCTCTTTGCCTTCCCATTAATAAAAGGCTGAACGTGTCCACGAGCTGAACGAAGAGATCGGGAAGATGTTGGCCCGGGCGGAGCAGCTCGGGAGTGAGGGGAACGTAGATGAAGCCCAGCAACTGCTGGAAATGGTGGAGAAGACTCGGGGCTTAAAGAAAGAAGCAGAGGTCAGAGAGTGAATAATGGCTTAGTTGTTACTTGTTTATTTTGTTAGTATAGTTACTTAGTTTTACTTACAGGTCACCAACTACACCTGAAATATTAGTTTGAGACTGTGAAGTTGTATGGTTTATTTCATTTTCATTTTCTTTCCTCAAAATGGACAATGACAGAAATCAGTATTTTGATTTGATAAAGATTGCCTTGGTTTTTAATAGGTGTTGTATTTATTAATAAATCTGACACGCAAGTCTAGTCTTTAACATGCAGGCATGATGAAATGCTAATTAATATCTTTGATTTTTTTTTTTTTTTTATGTCGTGCCTTTAATTTGTCTCACAGTCTCGTAATTTCTTGTCGTTGCAGGATGTGTACAGAAACTCGATGCCAGCATCCAGCTTTCAACAACAAAAACTAAGGGTGTGCGAGGTGTGCTCTGCCTACTTGGGTCTTCATGACAACGATCGTCGTCTAGCTGACCACTTTGGGGGCAAACTGCACCTCGGCTTCATTGAAATCCGCGAGAAGCTTGAAAAGCTTAGGGTAAGTTGTGTACTCTAACTAGCTCGGACAAAATAACTTTTAATTTGCATGTTTATTGTTCAGTAAGACGTAATGCCATGTTTTCCGTATCTGTATCTTACTGAACATAGAACAGAATCAGATGCTACTATTTTTCAGTTGGGTGTCATCTTTGTTTTATCCAGAAAGCAGTTATAGAGAAACAAGAAAGAATGCGAATGAGAAGACGAGAGGAACGGGAAAGAGAAGACGAAAGGGAGCGGCAATGGGAGTTGGAGCGGGAACGGGAAAGAGAGCGGGAACGAGAACGGGAAAGAGAGCGAGAATGGGAGAGAGAAAGAGAAAGGGAAAGGGAGCGCAGAAGGTAAGAAACAGTCTTAATAACATAGTTACTGCACTCAAAGAAAAAGTTCAGTGTCATCTGCAAACTGTCTGATTTTATGTTTCTGTCGTAGGTCGAGATCCAGAAGTGGAGATCGATATACAAGGTATTGCCTTTACCATAGTCACTTAATTAATTAATTAATTTATTTATTTTTATCAGACATGTGATGGACTTAGAATTTCACAACATACAAAGACTTACAGTACAAAATACTGCTTTAAACTGTTGCTCTGCTTTAAAACTTCAGGCATGAAACATTTGCATAAATTCGACACAAGACTGACATGTAAGGGTTTTGTAGCAAGCGTCCATTGTTAGGCATGTTGTGGTTTTATTAAGAAGTCTTGTATGAAGAACTTTTATCATTTTAGCATAAAAAGGGTGGTATACAAAGCCAGCTGTGATGCAGCATTGACATTGGGAAAGTTATATTGTTTGAATACCAACTCTCAGAATGGTGATAAAGTAAACAGGAATAAGAATTTCAGAGGTTGATACAGATCAGATTCTTGAGTTGTTACTGCTCACATTAAGATGTTTGAGAAGAAGTTGTTGAAGTAAAAACTGCAAACATGGATTTAGAAATGTTATGAGGCTGTTGGTAAGAGCCATACGATTATCTTATCATATGATTATCTTAAAATAATGTACTCATCTAGTCAGTCCTAACTAAGTATTGTCTGTGGCAGTAGTGTTACTGGGGTTTCAATTACAAAAATGGTAACAGTGAAGAACCTCAGAGAAATAAACTTCTGGATTACCTTTTTGGAAAGTAAGACCACCACCAGTTCTAGCATCATAAGAATGTTATATTAAATAAAATTGTTAGTAAGAGGCAGGTCTAGGCGCTATATAAATAATGTGAAAGTATCAAAATGCTCAATCCACAAAGAAATGTCCATATTTTAGAAACCTTTTTCTTTAAATAAGCCATCAGGACTTCCATGAAGTTGTGATGTCATGTGCAGAGAGCGCAGATGTAGAATACCTGGAAACACTGACCAACCAGAGCAAAAGGGGGCTTTTTTGTTTGAGAGGGGGGCTTCAGAGACAGCCGTTAAAACAGAGCGTTTCAAACAGAGCATGAATACAGGCATATTCAGGCAGATAGTATGAGAAAAATAATGTGTTTTTTGAACATTAAAGTATGTAAACATGTTTTAGTAGAAATCCAAAGTACAAGTATGAACCTGAAAATGAGTATAATATGCGACCTTTAGTTGGGCTGTTGTCTACCAACTAAATTGATTATGACACAAGATGCTTTAGGGTGCTTCAGTATAAAACCTTTATAGCTTATAGCAGTACAGTAATTTCCCTTAAACCTAAATGTATATTTCTGTCCATAAAATTACTTTTCTAGGGACGGAGGCACTTCATCCTCCCATCGTTCAAGACGCCACCGCTCCTCTCGTTCCAGAGAAGAAGGCGGAGATCGGGATCGGGAGAGAGAGAGGAAACATCGACACAAGGACAGGCATCGCTCACGCTCCCACTCTCACAGGCGCAAAAGAAAGAGGTGTGGCTTTTATCCATCACTGAAATGTACACAAAGTATCATCAGGATAGGATGAGTGGTCTGAGAGTGGGCCCCCTGAACTATCATTAAACTTGGCTACATACAACTCACATTATGTAACAGTGACCAGTACAGCAACCAGTACTCATCAGCTGCTATGTTCACAAAACATGAACCAAGTGAAATCTAGCCAAAGTCAATAAACTGATGAATTTGGTAACAACATCATCGGTCTCGCTTGTTTTAATGTTTTGCATTTTTACTGTGAAGCATTTTAAGCTACATCTCTGGTATGAAAAGTGCTCCATAAATAAAGTTGAGTAGTAGTAGTAGTAGTAGTAGTAGTATTAGCATTATTATATGTGCGCTCAGCGGTGTCCTGTTAGAAAATTCGATTTTTGGTCATTTATTAGTAAAATAAACAAAGACATAATTGACAGATTATTTAGTAATAATCAAAATAATCATGTTCAGCTCTAGATTAATTTATAAATTAATCTAGAGCTGAATACTACTTTAGCTTTAACCCAGTAGCCACAACTACCATCCAAGAATTAGAAATATAATTTTAGAATGTTTTACAATATAGTTGATTATGGACACGGTCACAAACTCCTTATTTTGTTGCACTAATAATCTATCCAATTTTGATACTATGAAATTGAAGTTTCACTGGTTACATCCCTGCATGTGGACAATAACAAGTGTCAAACTCAAATCAAGCACATCAAGTCCTCAGCTTTGTGCTTGAAACGTAGTTGTCATGACGATGATCAATCTGATTGTTTTTCCTCAGGTCCTCTAGAGACAGATCATCTCACACCCGTGACAAAGAGCCCTCACCATCCCAGGAGAGGTGTGGAGAGGGATGGCGCGAGGACAAGGCGGAGTGCGGAGACTGGGAGGACAAGGAGAGGTCTCCCTCTTCAAACACAGCCAAGGGAAGGGAACGAGAGAGATCCCTGTCGTACGAGCGGGACAGACGCTCCAGCTCTGAGGAGCGAGAGTCTGGGGAGATATGAACAGGAGTGGACACCTCCCAAAGTCTTTGATTTGGATATATTAATTAGAGAAAGGAGCATGGAGAGATGAGTGTGCTGGTGCGAATGTGTGTGTGTCGGCTTTGTATGTTTGTCCATGTTAGAAGTGGGAGATGTACATTAGCAGGGGATGGATGCTGGAAACTTTAGGTGGGGATGAGGGAACAACTTCTGTGGTGGCGGTCAAGCAAAACATGCAAAACCAACTTTTATAAGACTCTGAATTGTGAGGCTAGTCTGACCTGGAAGCAGTACAGTCATTTTTTATGTCATCTTGTCGATCTTATGTACAGTTATTTTGACAGTGATGAGTGAGTGAAGAGACAGCAGCCCTACTTTGAGTCTGTTTGTATTTTACTCACATGAAGTGCTTTTATTTTTTTATTATTAGTTGGACCTTCTGTGTTGATACGGTTCTTCCTGTTCCATTAGGAATCAATCAGTTTCAGCAGTTATGGATTCATTTACATGGGTTGGGCTCATTAATGTGGCATCCCTCGCAGTAATGTTTGAAATGAGCTGTGAATGACTGAAGGCACTTCTGATGTTTGTGTTTTATTTGCTGCCTTCAAGCCATAACAATCTGATTAGGGAAATCCGATACACATCCCGGAGCCTGCCTTTGATTCAGGATGCAGTGATGAAGCTCATACTTTGAAAATAAACTCACTTGTCCCCCTGAAAGAAGTCATCCAAATATTTTCACTCTGTTCCTGACATGCAGATGCATACAGATGATGTGCATCTTTACATACTGACACGTAAAGGCCCAGGGACTTGTGTCCTGTTTGCTGTGATATGACCTGGATGTACTGGGGGAATGTACTTTGCAGTGCCACCATAAAGTGAATAAAATTTTCTGCTTCTATTCAAATACAATGTGTTCATAGAGATTTCTCTCCTAATTTAAGCTCCTGTTTATAATTTGGAGAAATTGTTCACTGTGTATTGTTTGTGACACAACCAAAGGGATGTGGTTGGAGAGCGTATGCTGTAGCCAGAGAACCAGTTCTTCCCTTATTTTATCTTTACTCAGGTCCATAAACGGTCCAACACACACAAAAAAAAACATTTTTTAAAGGTTCAGTTTGTGCATTCTTTAAAATCTTTCTGATCCCATTATTTAACACGGGTACAAAAATATACTTAAATATATGTTGAAATGGTTTGTGTGAAAAGTAATCCAGATAAGATTCAGTTGAGCTCACTGTAGGATCAAAGTTCGGGACGATTTGTTCACCTACCAGGGTACTGGTGGAAGAAAGATTCAGTTCTTTTATTTAAGTCAAAGTAGCAATACCACGGAGTATAAATACTTTATGAGCAAAAGTCCTGCGTTCAAGACTTTAAAATACTAACATTAGTACTCATGCAGAATGACCTGTTTAATATTTATTTATTATACTATTGGATTAAAATTATTGATGCTAAAGGAGGAGATAAGTTTAATTCCTTTATGTACTGATGCATGGCTTAATTCATAAACATAGGCTACACCATAATGCATAGTTGATTATATTTTGCATTAATAATATTAGATTTTGCAATAATAATAATGAATCTGCAAAGTAGCTAATAACTAAAGCTGTCCAAAAAATGCAGTGAATTAAAAGTGCAATACTTGCCTCCAAAATGTAGTGGAGTGTAAGTATAAAATTACATTAAATTAAAAATGTACAGTTCAAAGTACCTAAAAACTGTACATAAGTACAGTTGCTGCTGTGACTCCTTTGTAGCTCAATATTCCCTGTCGAGAGAAAAACCAGCTGCATTCAAATCCTGAGGTAATTTTACATCATTTATATATATCATCGGGAGTACAGTCTACCTGTGATCCATCATTAGGAGTGAGCTGCAGAACACCCAGCAACCTGTAGGTAGCAGAAAACAACCATCTACCTATGGGAAACGTCATGACGTCAACTGGCGAAAGCATCATGACGTCAGACGCACGTTCGGAAAAGAAGCGCGAGTGAACAGCAGACCCCTGAAATGACCTGAAGCCGGATTTATTTAGGAAATTTATGGACTTTTGGACTGTTTAAAGGGTTAATATATCAATATGTCGGTGTTGAAGCCGTTTAGTAAGCTGCCTGGTTTGAAGACAGCGAACATCTTGGTGAGTCTGAGTTTCGTTAAAGCTGTAATGTTAACTATTGACAGCTACAGAGACAAACCACTGTGTTTTAGGGTCTGTCGCGTCGACTCCTTGAAAACAAAGCAGGGGATAGGAAGGTGAGACTGTTTTAGCTGCTCTCAGGATGAGCTAACAGGAGAATTAAAGTGTTTTAAAGAGAGGTAAGCTAGCTCAGTTGTCAGAGAGAACTTGTCCCTATTGTAATGGTCATTTACTGTTGCTGGTTGTCTGTTCTGGATAGACACTTTGCTCCCCAGACCCTCTTTCATCTAAACAAAGCACATATCTAATACTTGTAATCCTATCTGACTTAGGTATACACCCAAGTTTAAAACACTTTATTTCACATGAAGCTCGCCGTGATATAGCGCCTCAGATGTAATAAACACATCAAAACAAAACCAGTCAAACTTGTGCTCCACTAGGTATGGAAGTATTACAATAATTGCACTTAAAAACTAAAGAATACATTTTTAAAAGTTGTGTACTCCAGAGCATTAAATTACTGATGCGTTAATGTATGTGCAACATTTTAATGTTGTACCTGATCTGAGTGACATTTAGCAACTTTCCTGTTTTACTACACCTGTATTTATTGAATGTGTATGCTGTCAGATAAGTCAAAAATAATTTCTCACTGAAATATAGTGACGTAGAAGAATGTTGCACACAGTGTAATAAAGGACCAGCATCTACCTGAGTACATTCAGGCTGCTGTGTTACTTTTCACCACATGTTCAAGTAAACATTAGAAAAATTGATACTGATTTTACTTATATTTATTCTTATTTATATGTATTTATTGTGGATAGTGTCGTCTGTGTTGTGTGTTTTTATGCCTCTGTCAAAGACAAATTTTCATTTTATGTAAAGTTTGATGGACATTAAAGAAGTCTAAGTCTACAACATAATGTCACAATATTTTTGTTTGACAGTACGGTCTCGATACACTGCACCAAGTATAGATTTTTTTTTATTATAGAATATTTATATTACAAACACAAATTAAATTGTTGTTAGTCTACAAGACTGATAAAATCAGTGCATTTTTCAGCCCACTAGAAACAATCTGCTGCAATAAAAATGATTTGCTGTGAGACGAAAAGGCTGAAAATTGTATCTAATAAGATGAAACAGATGCTGAAAGAGTTTTGAATTGGAATACATCACAACTTATGTTATCACAATTCTCAGCATATTGCAACACGTTTAAAATCACAGTAATATTGTGGCAGTATTGTATTGTGGGGCGCCTGGTGATGCCCACCCCTGACATTCAGCCATGTGTTTAAATGCATCTTGAAGTTAAGAGTATTCATTTGTGCTTCTTTTTGTTTTCTTTTTAAACGGTAGTGTGTTGTAGTGCTGAGTGTTACCATCCAATTTTGTGCTGACTCAGTGTTTTTCCTCCAGCTGGTGGAGAGCGAGGAGCAGTTTCAGCAGAGTTTAGCAGACGCTCTAGTGGAGGAGACTGCTGTCACTGTGAATGTGTGAGTACTGCTTCGTCCTTAGTAACTGCTGAGGTCAGCTTTCTGTTACAAGAAATGGTCGTTAAACACACAACTGGAAACACCATCTGCTTACTCTGGTATTGGAACTGGACTTATATGGTGTTTATTTGGTGTATGTTAAAACACTGCAACTGAACCAGTTCAGTTTATTTACTAACAATTGAGGGTTGAGCTTCAAACTGTTATGCTGTGTTCATTGTATATGAGAGATATTGTAATTACCAGTTATGGATAGGAAAATAATGTTGTCATCAGATCATTATTACAACTGGAGCATTCAGATTTTTCTGAAAGCTCCGATATCCAACGTGGCACTAAATAATAGGGCTTGATAATACATAGTGTCATACTGCCAATGAATACATAGTATTTTTAACCCTCATACGACGGTATTTAAGTTGTCTGATGACATGAACACATGCAAGTTGTAAACATGGGAATCTTTTCCATTTGTACCACCCATCCTGTGTGACATGAACAGAGAATGACCACCCCTGTTTGCTACATATCAGTGACAGTGACCATAATCAGCCTATTGGTACCCATCAGGAGACTAGCTAAGAGTCTGCCTCTGCCCATGAAGAATGATGAGAGCCGTCCAAGGATAGACCTGGTGGTGTTTATCATCAACCTGGCCTCAGAGCTCAGGTAACTTTCAAATCCTCACATATTGTTATTTTAATCTCCTCACCTGAACACACAGGTAAAATATCTACCCTTGTAGATTTAGTTTGCCTGAGCGAAACTCAATTAATCCCATTTGCATGTTGTCCTTAAACAAGTTTCTCAGTAAGAGATGTATTTTTTGCACCAAAACCTATGTTTTTCTCTTAAACTACACATATCAGTATCAAACTGAAGCCCATCTTTTATTTGATTATTAGAGAAAATTGGAACTCAATAGCATGACATCACTGTTCTGTTAAATAGGACTATCCAGCTGTGTCTATTTTTGTATTTTACGTAGTGTAAGTAACAATTAATGTGTTCTCCAAATGTTAATTACAAGATTATTTACAGAAATTAATATTAATTAATTGTAACTGTGACATGTATTATTTTGTTTTGTCACAGTTTCCAGTCAGCAGAAGCTTCCCTGAAATATTTAGACCCTGGATATTTCCTTGGAAAAGTCTGCTTCATGGTCACTAATGGTATGCTTAAGTTCTTAAAGTATTTGTTTGCTGCCTGCAGCTTCTTGAATCACATGAAGGAGCAGAGGGGATGAAATGGAGCATCAGTTCCCTAAGATGGATATTTTTTCACTATTTATATATTGTACCTCATCTCTCCTTATACTGTTGGAAATTGACCAATTTTTAGCTGAGCCTTTGTGTGTGTGTGTGTGTGTGTGTGTGTGTGTGTGTGTGTGTCACCTGCTGCCCTCTTGTGAATCTGTCTTTTTTAGCTCGTAATGCTTCAGTCCCCACAGAGCACATGGACGCTGTCAGAAAACTGGCTGCATCCCTGCACTGCCCCTTGCTGTTTGCAGAGGATCAGGTTTGTATCAACTTTTGTCACAAACATTGTAGATGACTTAAAGTTCAGAGACATATGTATGTGTAACATTAGGGCAAGACATAGAGTGTTGGTATTGATGGCTAAAGTAGAAACAAGGCATCGGCAGGTCTTGAAAAGTCGTAAAAAATGTTGGCTTTGGTTTCCTCAACAAAAAGGCCTTAAAAAGTATCAAGAAGTGGTAAATTTGATTTACAAATATCTTTAATATTTTCTCTTGTTTGCCATGGGCAGTAATATTAGGTATTACAGCTGCAACTAAGGATTATTTTCATTATAGATTCATCTGTAGATTATTTTCTCAATTAATCATTTTTTCAAGATTCAAGACTTTTATTTGTCCCGCAGCTGCAATTGGTTTTGCCGCAGTAGCAATAAAAAACAGCAAGGGCTTGACACACAAGATGAAAACCACATGTACACAACCACAAATAATAAATTAGAATTACTGCCTCGCAGTTGTAGCCATGACAGTTGATAGTGCTTCAATTATGGATGTGTCTGCAAAGGAGCTACATATTCTAAAACATGGATGCTTCACACGTCCTCAACTCGACACCACAGAAGATCTGTACAATCAGCACAGTTTCAAGAGGGACACCCAAGATTAGTGTCACCAATTAAGTATCTGACAAAAGGTCTCCCCTTCTGTTCCTGAGATATGGTGTTGAATAATGACCAGATGTCACAGTGAAGCTGACCTTTGACCTTTTGAATATAAAATGTCATTACTTCATCATTTTATTCTAGTAGACATTTGTGTGAAATTTTGTCATAATTAACATATGAATTCTTGAGTTATGGGGGGGAAAAACATGTTTTGTGAGGTCCCAGCGACCTTGACCTTTGAATACCAAAATGTAGATAGTTTGTCATTGAGTCCAAGTCGACAGTTGTGCTAAATTTGAAGAAATTCCCTCAAGGCCTTCCTGAGGTATCGTGTTCATGAGAATGGGACGGGTGGACGGACAGGCAACTCGAAAAACATCATGCCTCTGGTCACGACTGTCGTCGGCAATATTTTCCCTAAAGTGCAGATCAGCAGAAGCAGTTAGTGAGGGGCTCTAACCATCTGTGGAGTGAACTGAGGATTTCAAATAATATTACTTGTGCTAGAACTGGATGCCATACAAATATATTGTAACTTATAAACATGTTTCATGAACAGTTCTTTCGCCTGATCTGTAAAGAACACAACAGGTCTTTTTACAGAGGACGTTTTGACATGTTACAGGAGGACAACAGGTCTTAGTATTGTTCATGCTTTAGGTGACAGCTGAATAAAGTAGAAATTGTTTATGTTATTAGTAACACCTCTGCTTTTCTTCTATTATGTCAAGTCAAAAGTTCTCTCAACAGCAAATGTGCACACTAAACTCTGTTCAGTTTTTGACAGTTTGACATGAAGCAGAGTATTTTTATCAACGCAGTCATCTTTTTCAATATTAACTTTTAACAGTCATCTAATGGACAGGCTGGTAGTTTTACTGAATGTTCATTTTTTGTGTGCAGTTCATCAATTAAAGACTGCACGTACACAGTACACCCGCACAGGTGAGTTTTTTGTTTTTTAGCTAATAAGATCTCTTCTCTTGAATGCGAGTGTTGGCATTTTTATGCCTCCATGCTGGCAACAGCTGCAGCCGGAGGCATTATGTTTTTGGGTTGTCCATTCGTACATCCCATTCTTTTGAACAGGATATTTCAAGAAGGCTTTGAGGGAATTTCTTCAAATTTGGCACAAACGTCCACTCAGACTTGACACTTGACACTGAACTGATTAGAATTTTTGTGGTTAAAGGTCACTGATTTCACGAAACATGTTTTTGGACATAACTCAAGAATTGATGCAATAATTAACACAAATTTCACACAAATGTCTAACAGGATAAAACAATGAAGTGATGACCTATTTTATCCCCAAGGTCAACTGCACTGTGACATCATAATGTTCTGCAAAAACACTTTTTCTGGTCATTATTTAGTGTCAAATCTCAGGAAGAGAAGAAGGGACTTTTAGTCAGATACTTACTTGGTGACACTCATCTTGGTGGAGGCATTCAGCTGCGAGGCAGTAATTCTAGTTTTATTATTTGTGTTTGTGTACTTGTGGTTTTTATCTTGTGTGTCTAGCCCTTGTTGTGTTTTATTGCTACTGTGTGTCACGACCTGGCTCTAAAGCCGAGACAAAAAGGCAAGGGAATGCAGGATAAATGCCAATAATAATTAATTTATTTAAACAAAAGTTAAATCATTTAACATAAGTTGAAGCAATGGGGTGTGGATGTCAGTGAAATCAGCAGTGAAGGTGTGTGCATGCATGGGTGGAAGGTGTAGTGAGTTGAGAGTGTTGGATGCCTGAAAAGAAAAGCAAAGAATCAGCAACAAAGGATGATGGCAAGAGAGAGACTGCCAGCCAGGCCAGGCAGCAATATAGAATGTGGAAGCACCGGGCCCAGGTGATTCCAACTACCATGATGACCCCTCCCACATACCTGCAACTGACAGAGAGGGAAAAAGATAAACAGAAGCAAAACAACATAAGACAGACCAGGGGCCGTCACACCCCCCTCCATAAGAACGAGGTCCTGAAGGGTACCCTGGTAACAAAATACCATTAATACCTAACCCAAATGGAAAAATAACCCCACAACAATTTATCATTTACTTCTAAAAAATCACTGGGCTAACAACCCCCTTAAAAAACTATATACACCACCGACTGTATTCTCACGAACACCGACCATCAGATGTGGAACTGGCCTGCTCCAACGGTCCAACATCCCCTGCCCCAAGCTCCCACCCCCGCAACCGGTGCACCTGGGAAGCAATTTAAGAGGTGTGAGAAGGCAAGAGGAGAACCAAGGAGAGGCACAAAAGGTCACACAGGTCAGCTAATACATTTCAGTTATTAAACTTGGGGAGTCCTGGATAACGCGTTCCCTACCACGTTGTCAGACCCCTTCACATAGCGGATGTCAAGGCAGTACGACTGTAAAGACAGCGACCATCTGATTAGTCTTTGATTTGGACATTGCAGTGAATTAAGAAAAGTGAGAGGGTTGTGGTCAGTGAAAACGACAAGAGGGGTACTGCTGCCACCAACATAAACATCAAAGTGTTTCAATGCCAAGATTAAAGCCAACGCTTCCTTCTCAATAACTGAATAATTAAGTTGATGGGGATTCAACTTTTTTGAAAAGAAGCTGACCGGTTTGTCAATGCCAAGCTCATCCACCTGCATGAGGATGGCACCTTCACCTACATGGCTGGCATCCACATACAGCTTGAATGGTCTATCAAAACACAGGGCAGCTAAGACAGAGGCGGAACAAAGGAGTGTTTTGACTTGCTCAAATGACTTTTGGCAGACTGGGGACCAGACAAATGCTGTCTTCCCTTTCAATAAATCAGTGAGCGGTGCCACAACTGTTGAAAAGTTCCGGCAAAAACTCCTATAATAACCGACAAGGCCAAGATTTGTGCATGTAGATTTGCAGCCGAGTGTGTCTCTGTGCTGCTGTTGACAATAAACCACCAGATGTCTCTATAGTGTGTCTTTCTGTTTCTTTAAAAGCAGTCTTGTGATGTTCTTTGCCTCCAGACACCAGACGGTGTGACCAATGCTGCAGACAGGCTGCTGACCATCCTGAAGGTGGCAGCCGGCCTTGTTCCCATGGCTACCACTCTCTACCTGTCCAACCTGACTCGCTGCACCGTGCCCCCAGACATCGACCAGCCAAGCTTCGATTAGTTCCTGTGGACCTTTTCTCATCCAGTCTAACTTTTTCATGCATATATTTATTTGTAGTCATCCATTGTGACTGGACTCTTAAAAACTGATAACACATGAGCATGTTATTTCCTCCATTCATTTGACATTACGTTTTCTGCTTTGGTTTTGAGCTGCTGTAGTTTGTGTCTTCTCTCTGCAGTAATGGTTTTTATTTTCCCTAAAGTGCAGATCAGCAGAAGCGGTTAGTGAGGGGCTCTTAACCATCAGTGAACTGAGGATTTCAAATACTATTACTTGTGCTAGAACTGGATGCCATACAAATATATTGTAACTTATAAACACGTTTCATGAACAGTTCTTTCGCCTGATCTGTAAAGAACACAACAGGTCTTTTTACAGAGGACGTTTTGACATGTTACAGGAGGACAACAGGTCTTAGTATTGTTCATGCTTTAGGGGACAGCTGAATAAAGTAGAAATTGCTCATGTTATTAGTAACACCTCTGCTTTTCTTCTATTATGTCAAGTCAAAAGTTCTCTCAGCAGCAAATGTGCACACTAAACTCAAACTGTTCAGTTTTTGACAGTTTGACATGAAGCAGAGTATTTTTATCAACGCAGTCATCTTTTTCAATATTAACTTTTAACAGTCATCTAATGGACAGGCTGGTAGTTTTACTGAATGTTCATTTTTTGTGTGCAATTCATCAATTAAAGACTCTGCACGTACACAGTACACCCGCACAGGTGAGTTTTTTGTATTTTAGCTGATAACATCTCTTCTGGAATGTGGGTGTTTACAGGCTGTACTGTATTTACAAATCCTTCACTGACATGATGGAATTTACAGCATGGCTCCACTTATCTTCACCAAAAAGTATCAGTCTGCTGGCTGTATATCAGGGCCAATAAAAACATGCTGCTGCACAGCTTCATATTATTTCTGTATTGTACAGTGTTTGTAATTATACAGAACAGTATGCTTTCTGTTTTTATACTGTGTAGCATGTGTGTACTTGCATGTTTTCATGGTTCACTGACATTTGAACTATCTATTGGATGCTTTTACAGTAAAACCGGGAGTGTCAGTACTGGCAATTCAAGATGTCTACAATTAATAAAAGCAAGACTGATCATCTGTCTTGGTTATACTGGAATCCTGAATTGAAGAAAATTTTATTTATGGATTTTTAAATATATAATGTACTCTTGGGTGAATTAATGGATGTGAGAAAACATTCTACAGGCTGCTTCTGATCCAGCTGTAGTTTATTGTCATGTACATTAAAAAGTACTGTGTACATTCAGTGTAATGAAATATTTTATGCCCTGTCTCTCTCTCAGCATTTAAAACCTATAACTAATACAATAAATAAAATACATACTCTGAGAATGAAACAATAGCAACATATAATAGCAGCATATAATAAACATAATTAAGAAATAATCCACAGCATCCGCAGTCTTTAGGTGCTCCTATCCAGTAGTCTGACCACATGGGGATAGAAGTATGTCTGAGGCAGGAGGGCCGAGCTCTGATTCTCTGCAGATGCTTCCGTGAGGGAAGATAAAGAGGAAGGGCTGTGTGCTGGATAACTAGTGTCCAATGAAAACACTAAATTTTGTTTAATATAAATAATTTGGTCCCATGTAATGAGACTTCACATCAACGGTAGTGAGGGTTGTTTATGTGGAATTTTTCATGCATTTATCATATTGTACAAGAATATCTTGTTAAAATAGTAATGATAATGATGATCCCATACCATCCCTTAGACCGACCCATTTAAAAGAAACATAATGTCCTGTTTTTCACAGATTAGACCTCAGTCATCTGTCCTGTTGAACATCCGCAAATGTTTTGACCTCTGTTCTGTCAACAGTTGGTCTGATCTCGGAGTGTGATCAGAAGCAATGTGCCTGGTGTCACGTCTGCATGCATACACCAATGCATTCGCACACAAATGCTATTAATAGTTGGGTTATCAAGGCAATTATGCATCATACAGCCAAACATTGTTATGGTATCAAGTCAGAAACTGGAAGGAGTCCATGGGATGTAAAGGTCAATGATAACTCAAATACCAACACTTTCACTACACATATACAGTAAGTCATCATAAATGCACTGAACAGAAGTTTAAACGCAACACTTTTGTTTTTGTCGCATTTTTCACAGGTTTGAGATAGATTTATTGACTTTTAAGACTTTTTATGTACTCAAAATACTTTTTTTCCCTCAAATTTTGGTCTCAGATTTGTTAAAAATCCAAGTCAGTGAGCACCTCTCCTTTTCCAAAATTATCTGTGTGAAGTTTCTGGATATTGGCAGGTACTGCCAATAGCTGATCCAAACATGCTCAGTGGGTGACAGTGCCTGGCGCCTTTAAAAGGTGAGCAGTTGCGCACTCATGTCCATTATGACAACAAACTGCTGTCAGATCAAGACCCTGGTGAAGATGACGAACATGCAGATGAGCTTCCCTGAGATGGTTTCTGATGGTTTGTGCAGATATTCTTTGGTTGTGCAAACCTATTATTGCATCAGCTGTTTGGATGGCTGGCCTCAGATGACCTTGCAGGTGAAGACACTGGACATGGACGTCTTGAGCTGGGGTGGTTACATATGGTCTGCAGCTGTGAGGATGGTTTGATGTACTGCCAGAAATGACATGGGGGTGTTTTATGGTAGTGAAATTAACATTCAGTTCACAGGAAACAGCTCTGGTGGACATTCCTGCAGTCAGCATGCCAATGGCACACTCCCTCAAAACTTGCAACATCTGTGGCATTGTGATGTGTGATCCTGAACATATTAGAGTGGCCTTTTATTGTGACCAGCACAAGGCACACCTGTTTAGTAACACCTGTTTAATCAACATCTTTATCCTGTGAGGTGGATGGATTATCTTGGAAAAGGAGAGGTGCTCATTGACACTGAATATAAAAAAGTTGCTTCCAGGATTTGAGAGGATTATATCTGTTGCGTGCATGAAAAGTCTTAAAACTTGAACTTTCACCTGTGAAGAACGGGAGCAAAAACAAAGGCGCTGCATTTAAGTTTTGCTCAGTGTAGTAATACTCCATCAGACGACCAAAAGAAAAGCTGTCATTTTGCAGGAATTTATTCATAAACTAAAATATTGCACAAATATGAGGGTGCCCGAACAATGCATGCATGTCCAAACTAATTGATGAGTTGTCAGGGTAATTCAATACAAAACAAAAATGCTAACCTCATGGTGCTAAAGAAGAAGTTTGCACATCACCAAAGTATTCATCCTCTGGGGTTTGTCATGGCAATTCATCCAACAGAAAGTTCAGTCTGGTACAAAGTGGCGGACTGACAGCCCAACATTTCCATCCATTCAAGCCATGCTGCTAGCTTTCCTCTCTTAAGCGTCATCATAATGGAATATCTCTCTATATATCTGTAAATTGTGATGGGTAATTTTTGCCATTGTCTGACATTTTATAGACCAAATGTTCATGTTGAAAAACGACTCAATGACATGAGGTCAGTTCTCAGCCTTCAGCGGGTATTTATTGTAAACACAGCTTACAACTTCACACACCGCAACAATTAAGCAGCAGTTCACCAAGCATTTTTATACTCCTCAGACAAACATAATACCTAACTTTCCGTGTGTGTGTATGGTGTGTGTGATTTCCTGCCGTTTCCAGCACTTGCGTTGTTTTACCTTAATACTTGGCGTTGTGCCACAGCTCGCTCTGCCCAATATCACACAATATTTACTATAGATAACTTTGCCCTTATCACATTTCCCCATCCAAGGTTGTTCAAACTAAGCAAACATGATTTGCTTAATAACTGTCTGACATTTCTTGGCCTTCTCGGCCCCACATTCAATTGTTTAATTGTCAAATTATCTTTTGTTGTTGTAGCCCAAATCATGTGTAACTTTAGCCTTTATAGTCTGGTTCCGTCCAATTCAGGCTCATTATCTCGCCTTCAATAGTCAAAGGGTTTCCACATAAACCTGAGTGGTGATGAGATGCAAGGCTGTAGCCAGCACTGGGGGAGAACCACTCCCAGGATTGGAGATGTGTGCCCCCCAGTATTCTGTGACAAGAGGTTGCAAGTAGGCACTGCTTTGTTTTCAGGGTTTACAAGTATAGATTAACCTCACAGTGAATGGACTGTAATATCAACAAAATAATGAGAGGTTTAATTAACGGTCCAGTGTGTAGGATTTGGGGGGGATACATTGGTAGAAATGGAATAAAATAATTATGTTTTCTTTAGTGTATAATCACCTGAAAAACAGAATCGTTAAGTTTCCATCACCTTAGAACAGAGCTGTTTATATTGACATAGGGAGCGGGTCCTCATTTTTTAAATGTTAAATATTTTAAATGTGTTTTAAATTGCTTTGTACAGTATTTTTACTGGTTAAGATCACCTGGTCTGTTTGTTTTGGAGAGAAGGAGACCTCTGTGGATAATTTGGCAAAAGATCTGGATCAGAAAAAAAAAGAGAGCACAAATTAAAGGGGAACTAAGCCCAATTTCAAAATGCATACATACTGATTTCATGGTCTAGGGAGAACAACTCTCTCTTAAGTCCAAAAACAAGAGTGCTAGAACTCAAATTTACGATGTCATCAAGTATAAAGTTTGGAGCCACTCCATAGACAATAAATTGGGAAAGATGTTCTAGATGATACTGAGAGCATGCAGGGGAATGTTCTGGGTATACAGGTACATTGTCTGATTTAGAACTGAGAACATAACAATAGAATAAATGTCATTCGGGTATTAAAAAGAAAACAAACATTCTGTGGGTTCACAAAATCAGACTCTCTCTCTGTCTATGAAGCAGCTCCAGACTTTATACTAGGGATGTACAATGTTGGATTTTTTGCTGATGTCTGATATGCAGATATTTAACTCATTTGACAGATACCAACACCAATGAATCCACTTTTTTCCCCAACTGATTTTAGAAATTGTCATGTTTCTTCTGTTGTGGAATTAACATCTTGTTATGTATGCATACTCTTCGTGATGGCCCACCCTCAGATGGAGACATGAAATACATTACTTTTCAATATATGTAATATTCATTCATTGTGCAGAATAAGAAAAGGCATGTTGGCTGATTCTGCTCATTTTAAAGCCGATATTGCCCGATACCGATGACATGCCGATATTATCGCGCATCCCGACTTTATACCCTTTGACATCACAAGTTTGAGACTTGCTTCTCTGTTGTCTGGCTTTGGCAGAGAGTAACTCATGTTGACAATAATGATTGAACTTTCCTTGGCCATGGAAATAACATGTTGGAATTCTTATTTCGGATGTGTTTACATTTAAGTTGTCAGAGAAAATAAGTGAACACACATCAGCAGGTGCTGGGCTAGCAGCCCGTCTGTGGCGTGCCAAACAGCATTGTAAAAACACTGATTTGTAACATAAAACTACTTCATTCAGTGTTTTTACTGGTTTAAACCACCTGGTCTGTTTGTTGTAGATAGAAGGAGACCTCCTGGGATAATTTTAGTCCCGTTAAAAACCTCCTGAACTATGAAAACTGAAGGAAGTCTCACTGGGAGTTCACACTTGGCACATGGGAGAAGTTTCACCTAATCTGCTTCTTAAAGCCAGGACACGTGCAGCAACAGGGGTCACATCCACACCGAACCACATGACTAAGAACTGAAAGATAATACTTAGCGTAAGTGTCTTTTGTGATACTGCCAGACACTTTATGATAAGAGTTTTAAACTTGGCCTGATTCCTATCTGGACTGTCAGAGGCTGGCCTGGCTTTCAGGGTGAGTTCTCACCAAGGAATCTTTTCTCTAATACTTTATTATTTATAGTATTGATTAGTTCAACAGAACTGATTTATAACTATTACCCTTAGCATCGATGGTGGTGAATACTACAACAGTGGGGTTAGTTCTCAGATCTTCCTTAACAACAAAGTGCATCTAACATTTTTAATTTCCAATCAAGGTTTCTGAGAGGAAAACATTATCTAAAGAAAATAAAGAAAATGGACAGAAATTAGACAAGTTAAGAAAAAAGAAAAAGGGGATATGTATTTTCTATGTTTTTAGATATTAAATATTCCTCTACTCAGCCAGATACAGAATTACAAGTGTCCATCCCTGCTCAGAAATACCCGT